CTTTACAACACACACAGGGACCATGGGGAACAAAAGTAGCCACCCTCCAGAAGGAAGGACAGTGTCAGCACCAATTCAGAGATGATTTGAGGATCTACAGTGGACTGATACACAAATAAGCTAAATTTTTGTTAATAGTTAAGATGCTTGAATGCATTTTTAAGACTGAACTCCTGAGTTTAGTGTTACTTTAAATGACATATGCATTAATTTACCACTGCATGGTAAGTTGTTTAATCGTACTGTAATTTTAATTTCCTTACATATCTCATAACAGCAGCATACTAATGAACTGAAAAACCATCCCTTTGATCCATTTATGAGCTGCCACAGAATGGTCAGAAAAAAAATTTGTCAGGGCAAATCACAATAGGGTCAGGGCCGGCCTTAGGCCTTTAGGCGCCCTGTGCGAGAAAGCTTTACAGCGCCCCTCAGTGACCACACCCCTCCGTGGCCACACCCTTTAGCGGCCACACCCCCAGTAACCACACCCATTTCCCCCAATATCCGCACCATTTAAAGACTCCTATTTTGTTAAGACGCAAAGAAACATTAATAAGTATGATAAAAATAAAACTTTTATTCAAAGGTATTAAACTTGTAGGCACAATAGAAGTATTCTTATCAAATAAAACAACAGAAGGCAAACAATAAATGTCAAAATACAATAGAGTCTATAAAAATAAAGTGTCAGTTTGTCATGCCGATCCTTTTTTCAAGTCAGTATATCTAGAAAAATAAAAATAGAAAACAGAACACAAAACCCAGACTTAATGAATTACTATATGTCCGAAATATATGAGAAATGTATTCAGGCGCATAATAATAATAATTTGTTTGAGAATGTGCGGCGGCCATGTTGGCCCCCCGGCGTGTTCTGTGAATGTGTACCACCATCACAGAGGCGGGGAGCATGACTTTACGTGACGCCATGCATGCGTGGCGTCAGGTGACGTCACACACCGATATTGGCCCCACCATCTTGGTATACCTAGATATACACCAAGATGGCGGCGCCCAACACGTGCGGTGTTATATGACGTCATGCGCCCTGCCTCCAGAACATGCCAATGGCTGAATCCAAAATAGCATAAAAAAGTGTTTTGTTTGATGAAACAAATGAAAACGTTTTTAGTTTTCGTTCATTTCGTCTGAAATTCATTTTTTGTCTTCGCACTTGTCTAATAATATGTGTCTGTGTGAGGTGGGGTATCTTGTTGCCATGGCGCCCTGTGTGGCCGCACGGCTCGCACACCCCTAAGGCCGGCCCTGAATAGGGTGAAGAGTTTGGAGAAGGCAGGAGCAGTGAACAATCTAGGACAACATAGCCGAACTGGAAAGTGAGCTGAATTGGAGAATTTTTCCCAGTCAGCTATGTTGTCCTAGATTGTTCACTTCTCCTACCTTCTCCAAACACTTCACCCTTTTGTGAATAACCCTGTGTGTTTTCAAAAGTATTCTGCTTATACTCCTCTGGGGACATCAAGGATGGAGAAAGATCTGGAGGTTCTTGCAGATCACAGACTCAACAAAAGCATGCAATGTCAAGCTGCAGGCAGCAAAGCCAGGATACTATCATGCATGAAAAAGGTATTTTCTCCAGAAATAAAATATATGACTCTACCACTGTACAAACCACTGGTTCAGTGGCTGACCTAAGTAACAAAGTGCTCAATGATAACACACTATTGTTTTTATACATTTATATAGCTCTGAGATATACCATAGGGCTGTAAAGAGAACACTGAGCCAGTGTGATGGGGGCAGATGCTGAGGGTCTCACCAGGGTGGCAGGGGCAGATGCGGAGGGTCTCAGCAGGGCAAATGCAGAGGATCTCAGCAGGGGCAGATGCGGAGGATCTCACCAGGGGCAGATGTGAGAGACCGTGGACGAGCTGTGTGGGCCGGTGTACGAGCTGTGGGGGCTGGTGGTGGAGCTCTGGTGGATGAGGTGTGTGGGTCAGTGGATGAGCTGTGGGGCCCTCTGGAGAGCAATCTGATCTGTAAACAGCTGCCGCAGGTCCCCAGGAAGGCTGCCCTGAGGTCCCCAGAAAGCTCAGAAGAGAACATTTCTTGGCGACCCAAAGTGGTGCTTCAGCTCATCCAAACCATGTCAGCTAAGCAGGGTTATTAAATATTACAAGAGCTCCTTTTAAGCAGAATACTCTAGATAGGCAGAGCATGCTGTCAATCAACCAGTGGGGTGGATCTCAACAGTATTGTCAGGATCTGACCTGGCTGTGGCGCTCTCAGCATATAGAGGGTAATAGCCCGCTTTATACAGTGTTTTGGGTCACGGGAGGAGGTTAGTATATGTCCTTCCGTGACCCTAAAGAGAACTATGGGACAAAACAGTTACAGGGTTGTTCACAAAAGGGTGAAGAGCTTGGAGAAGGCAGGAGAAGCGAACAATATAGGACAAAATAGCTGATTTGGAACAAATTCTCCAATTCAGCTCACTTTCCGGTTCGGCTATGTTATCCTAGATTGTTCACTTGTGCCTTCTCCAAACTCTTCACCCTTTTGTAAATAACCCTCTTAGTTTCTCAGTTACAAGATATGCAAGGGTATGGGAGTCCATAGCTAGATGTGTGCACACACAAACACAAACATAGACATATACGTTAAACTGAACGGACCCATGTTTGTTTTTAACCTTACCAAATTTGTAACTATAATTTCTGCTGTATATTGTTATCATGATGGGACAACTTAAAGCAATCCTTTACCCATACCTTTAAAATGACAACAAAGGCACCTTTAGAAATGCTTAGTAATGGCAATCTACAAACACATAGATAATTGAAGGCTTTGTATTCTTTGTATTCCTTTTTCTTTCCTTTCCATACTTTTTCTCACAGTGGCCATTTTTACTATGGGCAGATTAATTCACCTCCCTTTACTTCCTGTACTTTTGGCACATGTGACTAGGACATATGACCATGCCATCATCTAAGGAGGAACAATGCCTTTCCCTGAGATATCATGAGATTTTGCAGTTTACAGATGAGATTTGCACCGTGATGTAACCTTCCCAGGATGCAACTCTCAGGCACAGGCTACATCACTAATGCCTAAAGATGACCACAAAGTGGAAAAACAGTAATTGTAAGTAAAAGCAAAACAATATGTTTAATGCATGTAAGATGGTTTCATATCAGCATGCAGAGCTAAATGGTCATGTGATTTTTAGTGAAAGGTGGTAAAGGTCCACTTTAAGGGCTCGTTCACACCAAATGCAGACAACATCTGCATGAGTTTCTGCACACGCAGTGCAGTGTGTTTTGCCGCATTTTCGATGCGTTCCAGGCCGTTTTTGTAAAGCAGGAAAAAGGCATGCTGCAGTTTTTTACATGCTCTGGAACTGAACACTGCAGTGTGAACAAGAGCCCAAAATGCCATTGGACTACATTGGACACAGTTTTGATCCGGTCTCTAATTGCTCTGCTCCTGGAACGCGCTTGGTGTGAACTAGCCCTAAATCCTATGCATATATTTTGTGTTGTTTTGATTTTTTTGTTAATTGATTTGAAATTAGGTCCCGAATTTCTGCTAAGAGATACATTGTAATTTCTATTGCCCAGATGTCTTGATGCCTGATCAAGGCATGTTGCCTGGAACTGTTGGCAATCGTTGTACTGTTTGTTCCACGTGAACTTATTGGTTTGTAAATAAAGCTTTACTGGTGCTGCTTTCTTTCTCTGTATTTTCATGTATTGGACCATGGGCTGATCCACATTGATGAGTACTGACTTGACATTGTGCAGTGCAACTGCTGTGTGTGTACACCACTAGGTGCCTCCAAACGTTTTTTCCAGGAAGAAATATTCACATCTTAGATTGGCCAGTCCATAGCACATACTCATGCACAGGTGGCTTAGTACTGTGATATGCCGAGCCACATATATTGGTTGCTATTGAAGATCCATTCAGCTGTTTTGCGTTTCTGCATTACAGAACTTTTCCTAGCAACCTTCCCTTACCAGGCACTGGTAGATAAGAGAGGCCCCCAACTTCACATATCCCTTGGATCCCAATGATGGTGCTGAGTTTAAATCTTCACTGCATAAAGTCTTCAACACCATGCTACAAGGGGAACTATCTTTAGTAACTCAAATTAACTGACTTTAGGTACGTTTGACTGTTTTGTGCTTTGTTGCTGTGGGTTACAACCCACCCTCATCACTACTCACTGCATTATTTTACAATTGAATTCTGGTTGTCCTCTGATACATGTGATCGTGTTACTGCTTTCCGCTTTCCTACTGGTGAATTGGATTCAATTAGAACATAAACTGAATAGAATGATACATTTATACAAATACAGTTGCTATGCAAATTTCCAGCCTTTTTTTTTTCATTTTTTTGCCATTACTGTGGTTTTATAATATGGACTGCATGTACTATGCATTTTATAACAGCTTCATTTCTCATACACTGTAAATCTCTGTAAGGGTCCCCACACACCTTACGATTATCGTACGAGAATCGCGGGAAATCCCGAGATCGTACGATGATCGTAAGGTGTGTGGAAGCCGTGCGACCTCTACTACTGTAAGGTCGCACGACTTTAAACTTACGGACATGTTCGAAAACCCGCCGAGCATCGTACGATGTTCGGCGGGTTTGTGGCATGTCCGTACGATAAAAGCCGCACGGGCCGGTGTGCGCAAGCGCACACTGCCCGTTCGGCATTGCGGTCATCGGAAGCCCGCCCCTCAGGGGGCGTGGCTTGCGATCATCGCAAGTACGATCTGCCTATGCAAGATAGGCAGATCGTACGTTTTTTTAAGTACCTTACAACCATCGCAAGACACAAGTCTTGCGATGGTTGTAAGGTGTGTGCCCAGCCTTACAACCACATGATTTTACTGTTTCTCGCTAGCATGTTTGCACGGAGAAGAAAATGATGCAGGGAAAACAAACTAGCATAATTTAACTCTTTCAATGCCAACTAAATGCTTGTTTTCAGCAATAATGTGGATTTCTATTACACTTACCTGGAATTCTATTTAGAGTCACCCAGTAGTGTTCGTCAGGGCTGTAAGTGTCTTTAGACCATTTCAGTAGATCTATAGCTCTTTGATCTTCCAGGATGAACTTCGTAAACTCCCTTGTCAGTGCAACATATGCAGCGCCAAAGTAAATAGTGATATTGTGCGGAGGAGGGGGCTTCAAGGTTTTGGTCCTTAGTATGCGGGAATGTACAATATCCTCACGGTGGACGTATTTAGTCCGGGGGATGGCGTGACGAGGGGGCAGCACCCCAGGCGTGATATTTTTCCCTTTAAATGTTTTCAAATGCTCTACGATCTCCTTATTTGTCTTTAAAGGGAAATCCTGTCCGCATACATTAATCACATATTTCCATTGTATCTCCGAGTTCATCAGATCTTTCATGCAGTTCAGATCCGCCTGGAGTCTCGATATTCCGGCATACACCACCGGCTCCATTTTCGAGGCGAGAAAAGCATTAGGGAAACAATCCAATAAATCACTTACCGCCTGCAAGTAATCCACACTTGCCTTCTCATCCACATGGATGCAGTATACGTTCTGAGGCATATAGATGGCCCTGAACAGTCTCTCGAATGTGCGGAATTTTTTATGTAATACAATGATATAAGCTAAAGGAAAATGCCCTTCTTCGTTCGATAGAGGAGCTGTGATAAAATGGTTTTGTGTTTTGTAGCCATCGGCGCATTTCATTTTCTTAATAGACGTTGCTAAAGGATTTCCCCATATGAAAGATTTTTCCTTTTTGGCCATTGTGTCACAGGTGACCTCTAATGCAGACAAATCATGAGAAAACTGGATTCTTTGTGAGCTGGGCTGCCCATTCAATTGACCGGGATTGCAGAGGAACAAAAGCACAAGTACCACAGCAAATACAAAGAGGAAAAACTGCACACACTGAATCGCCTTCCGCAGGCTGACACAGAGCTTACCGTAGCTCTTCATATTGCACTAGCTGTGTGTTCCAGGTGTCATTGTCTTCTTCCTCACTGTATGGGAAGGATGTTGATCAGCCTATTCTACTGTCTGTTTCCTTTGAAAGCTCGGCGATAACATTGTTCTGCCTTCTGGGACAGGCTACTTGCATATGAATACAGCAATCCTGTGATTGGGTCACAAAATATCAATGACAGACTGATACTTTCCTCCTTCTTTGGTGATGCAATAAGATCAGGTTTCACACTATGACCCTGCTATGCGAAATTGTTGGCTCGATCCTGTGAGGCTTAGAAAATAACTGATAAATCTGTTAGGCAAACATTGATTGTTGAGTCTATAAGCAAATATTCTAGAAGGTGTAGCAGGGAACAATAATTACATTTATGGTGCAAGCTTATCAAACCTGGCTGAAAGGAATAGGCAAGTACTTTGGGACATTTCCCTTGGCAATAAACATGAGGGGAAGTTATCAATACGGGAGCAGACACAATCTAGAGCAGTTGCCCGTGGAAATCAAGCAGCTTCTCTTTTCAGCTTGTTCTGTTAAAATTTACAAATTAAAGAGAGAAGCTGATCGGTTGCTATAAATAAATAAATTCCCCTCATGGTGTTTTTTTACACACAGTAATAAGGCTACGTTCACACCTAAAATGCAGGTGCGTTTATGGATTCCTGCGTCAGTAATATGCGATTTCCTGCAGCAGGAATCCCAAATCTATTTACAAGTGGCAGCTATCACCTGTTCTTGTTATTAATCACGTGATAGCCGCTGCATTTGAAAAGCAGGAGAGTGCTCGCACACCGCATGTAATTGTAAGTCATACATTTTTACATGCAGTTAGGAATCAATCACTATCACTGGACACACGATGCGTCAAGGGAGAGTGATTGATTCCTAACCACATGTAATTGTATATGATACAATTACATGTGGTGTGCAAGCGCTCTGCCACTGTCAGCCAATCATTAATAGCTGTCACTTTTAACCACTTGAAGACCAGGTGTTTAGACCCCCTTCCTGTCCAGGCCATTTTTCAGTATTCAGCGCTGCAGTACTTTGACTGACATTTATTCCGTCATGCAACGCTGTACTGAAATGAATTTTATACCATTTTTTAGGGACAGATAGAGCTTTCTTTTGGTAGTATTTATTCACCACTGGGGGTTTTATTTTTTTTCTATATTTCAGAAAATTTACTGAAAATTTTGGGGAAAAAAAGTGTTTTTTACATTGTTAGGAAACAATTTATTCCCAATTTTTTGGTAAAATATAAAAGAAGGGGTCACGTCGGATAAATAGACACCAAACATGTCAAGCTTAAAAATTGTGCGCACCCGCAAAATCGCAAAAAACTACAATACCCAAAATTGACCATAGGCGACACTTTAAAAGCTTTTACCGCTCATCAGTTTAGTGTTATCAGTGATTGATAGCCCTAAAATTATCGTTCTCACTGCGACGTTCGCGGCGATATGTAACATGTGCGGCGTAATGGCCGCAATCATCGTTTTCGCAGGTATGCGCACCTGACGCATGTTTGCATGCGTGTATATATGGGTGGGGGCTTTTTAAAAAAAAAAAATTTTACATTCTTTTTTATGTGTGACTTTAATTTTATTTTAGAAACTAATTTTTTTTCTTATTTTTTTTTTCCACTTAACTTTATTGCTATAACATAGGGGGCTAAGAAACCCCTCTATGTGGTAGCAAAAGAGGTGGCAGGTCCTCTTTATGGAGACATCAGGGGTCTCCAAGACCCCTAATGTCACCTAGGACCCCCTGAAAAAGCTGATGAAGCAGAGATCTGCTTCATCAGCTTTCCTCCAGCGACTGAAGCTGGAGAGTGACACAAGAATGTGGAAGTGATGTAATATACATCACTTCCGCATTCTGGCAGTGGAGAGCGGACCGGTGGGAGCTCGTGTACCGAGCTCCCTCTGATCCCTTGACCGAAGCGTATGCTGGCCCCGAGCTCGCACCGGGCACAGCAGAGCCCGGGACCGGCGTGACAACAGGAGGGGGGGACATGGGTCGGCAGCTCATACAAGCGACCCGCTGGCTCTATAGCCGGCGGATCGCTTGTATGTTAACAGGCATCGTTGCCTGTGTTTAAATCGAAGGTGTGTCCTGCGGCGCGCGCAGGTGGGCGTGGCTGAGCGGACGTCTAAAGACGCCCGCTTAGATCTAGAGACCTCTCGGCCGGCACTGAGGTGGTTAAAAGGAAGATTATGGATTCCTACAGCAGGAAATTGTAAGTTCCTGATGCAGGAACCCCTAAACGCACCTGAAATATAGGCGTGAATGAAGCCTATTTGACTGAGGGCCCGTTACACATACTGCGGTGAACTGCATCGTGCCGCACCGGATCAATGCAGGTCACGTCAAGGACACAAAGAAAGCAATAGCTTTTTATGTGTCTCATTCACACTACAATGTGGGTGTGAAGGACAGTGCACTGCCATAAAATGCAAACATGCTGCATTTTATCACAGTGCACACGGATGCCAGCGCAGGTCACCGCACAGCAGTACAACGCACTACACTGCCCTGCAGGGACCTGAATGGAATGCACACATTGTACACTCCACATGAAGTAAAAAAAAAATGTAAATAGTGACACTAGCTCGTCCACTAAAAAGCAGTGTGAATGGGCCCTAAAGGTAGCTATGCACCGCTCGAATTTTGTCTGGGTTGGTGAACTGTGACTGAAAAAAATGGAACTAGGTGGAAAATTGTTGGCTGAATAGCGACTGCAACCAATTAAATGCAATCACTGTCTGGGTATTTTAACAGCTACGGGGTGGGGGAATCAGCTAATTACTCTCATTCAGCCGGTGGGGCTGAACAAGCGAAATCTAAAGGTGCCCATACACCTTACAATTATCTGCAGATTTTCTCTAGTCAGATGGAAAAAGTGCAACAGATTGGCCCAGGTGGAGATTACTCCATCCACACAGCTAAGTGTAGATGGAGGAATCTGTTGCACCTTTTCCATCTGACCATAGAAAATCTGCAGATAATTGTAAGGTGTGTGGCCAGCTTTAAGGTGGCCATATACATTAAGGTGCCCATACACTGTGCAATTATCGCGGGAAATCCCACGATCGTACGATAATCGCAAAGTGTATGGCAGACGTGCAACCGTTTTTACTGTACGGTCGCACGTCTTTTGTCTAAGGAGCATGTTTGAAAACCAGCCGAATATCTTACGATTTTCTACTGGTTTGTGGCATGCTCGGGAGACAGCACTACTAACTGGACGAATTTCGTTGATCGAAAGAACAGAATCTCTTTTGCGCATGTGCAGTTTTCATCTTGCAATTTTTGTTGTACGAAAGCGCCACTAATCCGTCGATTTTCGTCCAACTCGACTAAAGTTTTGTAGTCTGCCTGAAAGACGAAATTCGTCCAGTTGTACTGTAATTGCGGTTGTGCACTTCCCATCAACTGGCCAATAATCTGATGAAACAGTGATCGCGGATGAAAATCGTGTGATAATCGCAAGTGCATGGGCACCTTTAGGCAGCCTTTCTCAATCAGGGTGCCTTCTGGCTTCTTCAGCAGTGCCTCAAAATTTTGTGTGGTAGAACTCTGATGTGAAGGGGGAACTGAAGACTCTGATAAGAAGGGGGCTACTGATGTGAAGAGGGAACTCTGAGGTAAAAGGTGGGGGAGGACTCTGATAAGAAAGGGGAGCTCCTGATGTGAAGGGGGGCTCCTGATGTGAGGCGGGCTACTGATATAAAGCAGGACTCTGATATGAAAGGGGGCTCTGATGTGAAGGTGGGAACCCCACTTTTTTGTGTTTTTGCATGGGGTCCCCCCATTGAAATCCATTACATATTAGCCTGGGGTGCTTCCAAGATTTTTTAAAGGGTGCAGTGAGTGAAAAAAGGTTGAGAAATGTTGATCTAAGGGGCCGATGTATAAGTCTCCCACCCAGCTTAAACTGGGTGAATGCTGCCACTAAATGGAACCGAGGAGAACTAGAGCTAAAGTGCTGATGTATTTTCCCACCAGACATGATATGAATTGTTAGGGCCCATGGCTGTGCTGTGACAAAACAGAAGGGGTAGTAATACATGAATATATGTTTATTAGTGTGCTTTTTTTCAATTTCAATTAACTAAAATTTACTTTAGGCTCAAAGTAAATTTGAGGACAAAAATGTTCAATAGCCACAGAGGATATAAATCCACTTTGAGTTTGCCAAAATGCCTTTGCAAACATAGTTATCACCTTGAAAAAGCACTGGTGACACACATGCGTACGTAGAGAGCAGGCTGCCTGCAGAAAACTACAGGAGGGCTGCGGATACAAGACCAGTTACTCTGCACAAGGAGAAAGAGCAGCAGTGAATGGTTTTTATTACAGTGAACTCCTGCACAGAGTCAAAGTTTCACACTGGATTACTGCACAGATCTGTAAGATATGCACAAAGCACACCATGAGTCAAGTAAGAACACACCTCTTCCGTAATTAGGCAATAGTTGCTTTTCCAGGAGTTCAGCTTTAAAGATAAACTCCGGGAAAACTTTTATTAACCCTTGCAGTGGGACTACCCTTGCTTGGGCTGTTTGTTTTTGTCTAGGTGCTAAAAAAAAAATGATACTCACCTAAACCATGGTGCCGGCTTACTCTAAAGCTGACCATACACCTATAGATTATCTGCAGATTTTCTATGGTGAGTTGGAAAAAGTGCAACAGATTCCTCCATTTACGCTAAACTGTTAATATTGTAGTAAATAGGGAAAATAAGGGTTTGTGTTGGCTACCAGAGTGACAATTCCAATACACATCACATCATTTTTTTATATATAAAAGTAGAAAATTGTATTCATCAAAAACAAAATAATTAAAACAGACATAGGATAATGCAATTAAAATAGAGAGAGTTCTCCCCACAAGGGGAACCTCCCAGTGACCCCCTTTCCGGTCCCACAAATATGGTTCAAGTACAAAAGAAAAAACACTATATCAATAGCATTGGTATTCAGACTAAGGAGTCTCTGGTGTAGATGAGAATGAAATAATGAACATTGTGGTGGGACAACCGAAATTGGTAGGTGTATGGCTATGACCTCATCAGTTCAA